ATTTTTTCCCCTGGGGAAACCCAAAGCCAGAAATTCCAAAGGCCCACATTCGAAGTTGGTTCGGGCGCGTGTTAAGATTCTTCATAATAAGGCTTATGGCGGATTCCGCTTCCTGAATGGACTGGATTGAGCCTGAACCCGGGAGTTGGACTTGGAGCGGGAGAAGAGCGAGATGAAATATTGGGTCCCCAGGGGGGAAAACCAGCCAGAAGGAACAGGCGTGAAACTTTTGGAGGCGAATTGAGCCATTGAACTAGACAATTTTAGGTCTCTCCTTTTTCATAAAGGCCCCCAGCGATTTTGGAATTTACCGCGGGAGGGAGATTGAGCCAGGACGTTTCCATCTTCCACCAACCGAGGATTCCCAGCCTTCCCAGCAAGTCTTCTGGCGGACAAGCAGAAAGCTGCCACAGCTGTCTTCTGGTGGGCAAACTTACGAATTGCCCCCCTTTTGAGGGATAACTTCCACCTGCGGTGGAGCCATTCTCCCGCTGTTTTTCTTTTTTTTTTGAGGCGGGCCCCCCCCCACGTTGCTGAAGTATAAACTCGTTCTCGTGAAGCTGGAGCATACGGCTGGTCTTGTCCGCTCTCAGTTTGCACGTCTTGCTCTGTTGGGCCAGCATCTTCTCCACCGGATCTGCCTTTAGTCGCTTTAAATTCGCTTCGTCGTCCAAGGCCAGCGGGCGCTTCTCTGTTCGTTGAACAATCGCACTTCCTATATCAGAAGCGTCCGCACTGTCGCCGATGTCGTCCGACGTAACACGAGGGCGGGCGGAGGGTCGAGCTTCGAACACAGCAGTAAGTTGGTAGTAGTAGGGGCATCGCTTCAGAATCTCGCCGCTAAGGGTTGATTCACTCGTGATTCCGGCACCAGCTTGCGCCTGAAAGTCAAGTGCCTCCTGAAATTGCTTCTCAATCGTGTTTATTTTCTCACGAACGTCTGCGGTGGCGCGATTCGTTATCCCAACGGCGTTCAGCTCGGGTACGATTTATTTTAGCAGAGCTTCTTTGGTGTTGCCGCTGTTGCGATCACTGCCCCGCCACTTGTTGTAGCTTGTCTCAGTCGACAGCCATTCCAACACGACCTGCAGCGAAGACTTGCCGTCGTTCACTCCATCGCGATCCCGGAAGATGGGCTTCCTCTTGACGCGCGCTGCCTTCCCGCTCATTAAGATCTTCGTGCGCTTTTAAATATGAGCCTCTTGGATTCCAAGCCATCTCTTGGAAGAAAAAGCTTAGATGAAATCGCTTGGAATTTAAGACATTTTTGTCCAATGAGATTGTCAATCCATCCTTGGAAATACGACTTGTATCCAACTCTGACAACCACTATTACGGTATTTAGTGTGGGTGGATCATTATTATGGGTGCGTTAAATAGTATAGCTCACACTAGTTCTGCATTTTGACCTTCGTCGGCAAACCCACATTAATAATAAACCCACAGTAAATGTGTCTTCAACTAGGCTGTAGAGCTTCAACCGCGCCGACTTGCGAACTCAAATTGGTGCTGGATCATCCAGTGGATGTGGCCAAGCTAGAATGCACTCTGAGAAAGAAAAATATTAGAGCGTGGCAGCACAACTGGGAAAGCTCTAACGAGCGTTAGAAAATGGTGAATTGGATGAAAAGGCTACTTTCAACATGGACGAAGTACATTTTGGCATCACTATGGACAAGATCGTACTTTAGTAGTCCTATTCCTTACCTATTATAATAGAAAGTGCATTATCTCTCTCAAGGCAAGTCAATAACAGATTTGCGCTATTACCCGGTATGTCAAACCTTGGTGGTGGACCACACTATAAAATAGAGTTTACCGTGTTATACCAGAACAGGCCAGCCAAACCAGTCCCTTAATTTACAAGGAAATGTCTATGTTCACCAGTACTATTGCAACGAAAAAGGACAGG